TGCGCTCGATCTGGAATATTTTTATCTCATTGTAGTGACACAATTCAAGTGATGCATTGGCCATGTTCAGCAGAAGAAGTCAGTTCAAAGTGCTTTGTAAGTGCTTTGCGCGCTGATTGAATTATACTTTTAAATCTAGGGAATAGTTCCTCATCTCAGCGAAGAAAATAGTTACAAAATAAAAGTTCCGCTAAACGCGGCCGCTATTCACGGCGAAATAATTCACAGCTCGCGCAGCGAGTGAATTTGGTGAACCACAGCATCGGTGATCGAAGAAATTCTCGTTAATTTTTCCGTTGGCACGATGGAAAATGCGTTTGATCGGCACGAGGATCGGGTCATCGTCGAACCACGGAGGGATCATAGGGGGAATCTCCTCTCCCGCACACCCGAAGGTGACAGACCACCGTGAGCGTGAAACTGTAACCCAATAACCGCCGCCAGTGGCGCTCAATCGATTATTGATACGAGAGCGACGGTACCTCGCTTCGAGAGGGCTTCTCATCACTGATGCTGCGGTTACGGGGAAAATGTTCGCCAATTGGAGCTGTAATCCAATAATTCGCTATCGATGGCTTTCAATCGGCGATCGAGCGCGGCAGCGTTTCCGTGGAGCTCAAAATTATTTCATTGCGGGGAAAAAAATGTTTCTTTTTTTTCCTATTTCGAAATGTTTATACTACCTAGTAGAAAAACCGGGAAAACCTGGAATTTTTAGGGGATTTTCTTTTTATTCTTGAAAATCAGAGATTTTAATGGAATTTCGGTACTCAGAGAAAGAGTGTCTTAAAAATCGCCTTTTTTTGAGCTCCCGGTTTTAGGACTGTGTGCCAAATGATACTCTATAATGAGACATTAATCACAAAGAAGTTTCAAGTTGAGGTGACAACTGTTAGAGTTAGGAGGGGGGAGGTGGAATCAAAATTTATTACATTGATCAATGCTAAAAGTTTTCTGCAAAAGGAGAGTGGTTTCGCGTAGATTTTGTGATACTGAAAACGATGCTGCTCTTAGAATTTTGTCACATTTTATTATGTCACATTTTTTAGAAAAATGGGATTGAATCCCTTAAAAAAACGTTTTTCGCAATTTTAAAATATCGCAGCGGATGAACCTGATGCAGGTGAATAGTTTCGTAATAATGGAGATACTTGGGCTCGTACAATTAAACTTTCATTTAAGAAGTTTTTTAAAAAGTTTTTTGCATATTGGGTTCATCCGATGTGATTTTTTAAAAATTGCGAAAAACGCGTTCTTTAAGGGATTTAACCCCATTTTTCTAAAAAATGTAACGTGATAAACAAATTCTGAGGTCAACATAGTTTTCAGCGCTCCGAAATCTACGAGAAATCACTCTCCTTTGTAGGAAACTTTTAGCATGTCGATCAGTGTAATGAACTTTGATTCCATCCCCCCCCCCTCTCTAATTCTAATAATGGTTACTTCAACCTGAAGCTTCGCTGTGATTAATGTCTTATTATAGGATAGGTATCATTTGGCATACAATTCTGTATTTCCTAAAATCGAGGAATGCAGAATGGTCAATAATAGGTCAAGCAATAAGTATGGCATACATTCACGTACATTCTAGCGTTTTTCGAATTTTTTTTATAAAAAAACCAGGATGCTTACAGCAGAAGAGAATAAATAGCTCATTGATACTACTATATTGCAGTGAGCCTCTCTTCCTTATCCTATAGGTTTCGCTGGCTTCGCACAGAAGAGAATAGATATGATCTCATGGAATCCTTGTTTTGTACTAATTTACAATATACGGTTTGTTTGCGTTATTTACACTCCAATTTATTTCAAAGTTGCATAAATTAATTATTTAATCTTACTTGCAAATTCAAAAAAATTATCTGAAAAATTCGAGAAATCTCAGAGGGAACTTTTTTTACAAGATTTCACGATAAACACTCTGTCCTTTTTGTTTTTTAGACCGCGAATAAATGCGAAACTCGTTTCCTCCCACGTATAAGATCGCCGGGCACGGAAAATCGGTATACGAAATCCCGTCGGAGTCGTATACCGGTTTCGCGTATCGGTTGCGTGTATCCCCGTTTCTCCATTTTCTGGAGAGCGTGCCCCGCTTAATCGGCGCTACACTAATCGAAGATTATTATCGATTACTCGACCTTGCAATTATCGTACCGTTATAATCGATAATTCGACCTGTTATTCCTCGTTTAAACGCGCTCACCGAGGAGGTTTTCATCGCGAGTTTTTTTCCCCTTGCGCCGCGCGAGATGTCTGTAATAACGGTGCCCGATATGCCCGTCGCTCGGTGCGATATTCCGATTAATCGGCCGCAGGTATCGTTTTTCCCCGATAAAGAAACGGCATGGTTTATAATCGGAGGATGCGTCGTCTAATCGAAATGTTTCGCGGAAGCGAGAGCGCGGCTTCTAGAAATATTGCGATTAACGCGCGACAGGCAACACGCGGAATTTCTCACGAATATTCCGGCCGCGTGCAGGAAAGGAAAAAAAAGGATCTAACGCCTCTTTAAAGGCTACTTAACCTCGACCTTGAGTCTACACGGAATTACCGGGTAAAAATGATGATGCGTATGCATTCCGTTTCCCGACGACGTCGGCTCTTTTGCGTTGTCGGTGTTTTTTCCCTCCGCACTCCGAGACATTCCCGGAGCGCGGAACGTTCCGCGTGCACGCGCGCGCACGGATGGCATTATTTTACGGCGTTACATTCCGAATACCGAGGAGATGATATGATACATCCTACGCGCCTCGAGCGTAAAATTTTTAACGCGCGGCATCGCCGGGATATAAAGGCAGGTGGCAGAGAAAAAAAAGTGGCGATTAGGAGGCCGACCTCCTGAAGAAAACCGAGACCTGAATACTCGGACGTTTTTGTTCCGAGGATCAAGGACCAAAAGGTTGCGACGTTAGTGCAGTCTTTCAGCACGCCGCGATTAAAGGCAGAACGTTGGAATAATATCGCGTCGTGCGTTTCGTTGCGTACGCACGTTTTTAGAGAAGTCCGTACGCTCGCGCGCTGCGGTAGATGGTCGCAGGGAGAATTCCAATTTCGTCACGCGCGCCGCGCCGTTCGAGGCGATTTCGAAGCGCGATACAATAAATAAAACCTTCGTGTTTCCGCCTCTCGGCTCCCACCTACGTCGCAGTAAAATGGAAATCGCACGCGCACTGCGCTCTTTTTACATGAATTTTTGGAGAATATTTCAGGACAATTCTCCCGAAGTGCAGCTTTCAATCGTTGAAATTTAAAATAAAACTTCTGTACTTGTACACACACATACACACACACACAATTTTTATTGTATAAGAGTCGTAAAAAAATAAATCGAAGAAATGCTATTCAGAGTTATCTGCGTAAAGTCCCACTTTTCAGTTTTTTATTTTATTTCTTTTTATTTCTCTTATTTTTTAATTTTTTTCGGATTCTTTGATTTAAAAATTGACTTTTTTTTGTTAATGAATGAAAATAATAAAAAGAATAATGAAAGTAATGTATATAATCACAATAATTTAAATATATAAAAATACATTTAAATAAATTTTTAAATATATAAATTAAATATAAATTTATTTGTATACAAAAATATAATACATGTAGTATATAATAATTTATTTAGATCGATAAATATATTGATCTAAATAAATATATCTATATTTGTAATGATACTTTAAATATTAGAATTTTATTAAAACAAACTTTACCTAGAAAATTAATTGAAAAATATATTTTGGAATCCCTCAAGTAACAAGACGTCAAATGACGGTTCAGTATTCTTATTGACGTTTTATTGACGTTAAAGACATTATTAAGACGTCACCTTATTACCTTGGGCCATTTGATTCCTCATAATATAAAAGTTTTTTTTACCCATTAAATTTCGCATATAATCTGAAAATTATCGATTTAACTTTTGTTATTTATTAAGAACAAATCTATTATAAACTAGTAAAAAATTTCTAACATTTTTTAAAATAGCATAATAATTATAAGTTATGGTTATGCTGTGTCTCTTCTGGATTTATCGAGCCACATCTAAAAAATTATATTTTTTGTAAATAGAATTGATATGTAAAAATGAAGGTATGACATATTTTTTGTAACCATCGCGTGTCGGCCGATAAATAAGACATATTCCAGCAAAGTTATTATTTAGACAATGTGGATGTCTTCCCAGAATATTTCCCATTTACATTATTGTACCGTTGAAAGATATCGAGGTAATCTTTTGGAAAGGAAGCAATCATTTCGAGGAGCGATTTCTCGCCTCGTCGCCTGTAAAAATGCGCCGCGCACGGGGCAGCCTTTCTCGTTTTCCTCTCGTCTCCTTTTTCTTCTTTGTTGCGGTCAATTCGCGATGTTAAATCGTCTCGTATCGCGATAGCGCGATCGCGCTAAGGGATCACGGGGAAAAACAGAAACAAAGAGAGAGAGAGAGAATTCAGGCATTTGGCCGTCTCTCGCTATAAGCTGGCAGGCAGGCAGGCAGGAGCGTCCGTTCCTATATAGGGTGGACGACCCTTTGTTCGTATCGTCCCCCGCTTCCTTTCCTCCGCAGCCGGTTCCCCTTTCTAGACGAACCATCCGATACGCCGCGGCTCTTCCTCCTCCGCCCCCTTTTAACATCTACACCCCCCTAACTAACGCGCGTTGTGCACGAATGGGTCGCGAGACGCACAAAACAGTGGGGTTCCGAAATTCGATAGTGCAATAACGCTGCTTCTAACAGGGGGTACTCCCGGGTAACTCCCGGGTGTGATCGTTAAACATCCCCCTTCACAAACACACTGGGAAGTTTTTCTCTTCCTCCCCCTCCTCTCCCCCTTGGGATATCGTCGCGATTCTTATCCGGAAGCGCGAATTGCTCTATGTGACAAATTGAATTTCGACTCGCGGAGGGACGGTAGAGATTCTCCCGTTGCCAAAATCTCGTTATACAAACGAAATGACGGTCGTTTTCTTCCGTCATTAATCTTTTTTTTCTTCTCTTTTCTTCTCAGTCAACGCGGGAGGCTTGGACTTCATCATCGAGCCGCGGGATGTGGTGGTGGAGCAGGGAGGTCCTGCGAGGCTGGACTGCGAAGCGAATAGAGACTTCGGGACGCCGAGTATACACTGGCGCACGGACGACGGTCAGCCGATTACGTTTATCGGGGACAGTTATCGGTAATACGCGTGATACATCTTACGTCTCCCGTTTCTATCAATGTAGATTAACTTTAATCTTTTCTTAACTTAATGCCCAATTCTTAGAACTAAAGAAAGATAAAAAGTAATAACAAATTAACTAGGAAACTAAAGGCCAAAAACGAGCAAATTGTAACTAGGTGTTATCTTATTATAGTTTAACATTGCATGTTAAGATGTACAAAAATTGCGGCACCGGTTTCGATTATAACTTCAGTCATCTTCAGCCGCAAGCTCTAACTTAAAATTAAATTTAAATTAGAGTTTGCGGGTCTGAAGATGATTAAAGTTATAGTCGAAATCGGTATCGCGATTTGTATAATTAAATTTTTTGTATATCTTAGCATGTAAAATATAGCATGTTGAAATATTAATAAGTAAGATAACGCCTAGTTACAATTTGCTCGTTTTTTGGACTTAGTTTTTGTTCCTAGTTAATTTGTTATTATAATAACGAACCGCATTCATTAGATTTTTAATAAAAAGTAAGTTAAGCTGAGAGTTCATAGCTAATCTACATTGGTTGAAATAAAAATTTAGGAGAGATTTCCTCGATTTGCTACGACCCTGCGCATCAGTCTGACGGAACGATGCCCTTTTTTTTTGTAGATCACAGCTAGCGAATGGATCCTTGTACATAAGTAGCGTGTACGCCGGTAGTGCAGAGTTAACCGGAAGTTATCAGTGCTTAGCTTCCATAGACAATGTCGGAGCGATTGTCTCTCGGTCAGCCACAATCAAACTAGCAAGTTAGTATATATCTTCAGATCCTAACGTGTAATACACGTGCTTGAAGATGCCCTGAGATAGATTATGCTTGATGCCACTTTGATGCGAAAACGAATACTTTTTGAAGCGTTAAACATAATTTCTTGAATTTTTAGTCATCTTGAGATGTTGTGATTCAAGAAACTCTAACAAAAAATTTATTTGCAATGTGCGCTTTTAAATATTGATCTTTGGACAATTTTTGTTGTTTAAGTTTTTGGACGTTTTTATAATTTTTAACTTTTTAAAATCTTTTACAATCGCTTAACCTTTAAAATCTGTTGTTACAAAATGGTAAATAGTGGAAAGCTCATTTTTATCTAGAAATTCTTTATAAATATTTAAAATTTTATAAAACATAAGATTAATTAATTTATTGTTTTATAAGGCTGTAAATACTGCGTTTAACACATTTTGTGTTTTTTATATTGTATGTATGTCGAGAGAAAACTTTGATTTCTCCGAAACAAGGTTTGGAATATATGTATTTTGAAGCCTTCTCTTTTGAAAAAACAAAATTGAAACATTGAAGCAATTGAAATATTGAAAAAAAAATCTGAAAGCGGATTCTGTTTTCGGAGTCGCGCCGGATTTTTTATCACTTTGTCGTTTTACAGTTATTTTTTTTTTTAAACTACACAATATTTGAAGAACGCCAAAAAGTTAATAAAAGTTAATATGCAGTATATTATATGTTAATAATAAAATATTGAATTTTTTGTGTAATTAAATTATATTGTTATTAAAATTTTAATATTTTGTAGTAAAAGCTAATATTTAATAATGTACATCTCCAAAAATGTTGTGCAAATATTGTAAATATCGGATGCAAGATAATCTTGAGTTTCTCGAGCTACAATATATTTCAGGACGATTAAAATTGCAGCAGCGAGTAAGGCATAACTTTCTTCGCTCCGAAAAGTGATCGCTCACTCTTCCGACGGTAGCACTTATGCGATGAATATAACATTTACTTTTTTTAAAGGCCTCCCCGGCTTTGAAAGAGAACCTCAGGACACCATGGTTTATCCGAGACAGATTGCATATTTGAGTTGTGCACTGCCGGCTTCCTCGAGTTTGTTGAAGATACAGTGGCTAAAGAACGAACATCCTTTAGTACTCGATAAAAGTCGAATGACAATTCTGCCGTCAGGTACGATCGGGATTTTTACGGCGTTTTTAATTATTTTAATTAAGATTTTCTTGCACGTTAATTACCATCATTGGTATACTTTATCTCGCTGGCTTTCCCACAGGCGCGTTGGAAATCAACGATGTTAACTATCACGACGTAGGATCGTACAGATGTAACGCTAGCGGCTACGGCCAATATAGACTGAGCAACAAAGCACAATTAGGATTATTATCTAGTGACGGTTTCGGTAAGCCTTGTTACTGAGCAATAACACAAGTTAATCGTCGACGAGGTAAATTCGTCAACACAATCAAATTCATATCTTCCGATCATACAGATGAGGGAAACAGCGCTCCGGTATTCATCGCACAACCTTTGCAACAAGTAGTCACCGAGGGGTCCGACGTGACCCTGGAATGCGCTGCCAACGGCTTTCCGAAACCGGCGATTTATTGGCTTAAAGACGGCGTTGCTCTCGACTTGATGTCACACGACTCCAGGTATATTGATTAACTTGCAATGCCAACGGGATATGAATCCGATATGTAGTATTTACGAAAAATGTATCTGCTTCAAGATATCGCGAAGTCGCAGCCTCTAGTCTCATGATCACGAGTGTCAAAGAATCGGATCACGGTTCATATCAGTGTCGCGCGGAGAACATGGCCGATTCTCTGGATGCAGTTGCTGAGTTAATCGTGCAAGGTATTTGCGGCGATTTTATTATCCCCGCCCTGATCGAAAATACGACGCTTTAATTTAATTTAAACTCCTCACAGTTCCGCCAAAGTTTGTAAAGAAGCCGGAGGATAAAGTGGCGAGTGCGAGACAAGATTTAGAATTCGAATGCGAGATCTATGGAAAACCGGAACCGAAGATTAACTGGCTGAAGAATGGCGAGCGTATCACGTTGAGCACATACTGGCAAATTGTCAATGGGTGTGTTTTTTGGAAAATCTTACGTCGTTGAAGAAATTTCGTGAAATCACGTTTAACAAGTTTTTCTTCTAAACCTTTCAATATTTCCATTTCCAGACACAATCTGAAAATCAATGGACTGTTACCCATAGATGCAGGGATTTTCCAGTGCGTGGGGATGAATCCTGCTGGTAGTGTTCAAGCCTCGGCGCGTCTCATAATTAATCAGCCCAGTGAGTTTCGCGAGATAAAGTATAGATAAAACCTTCTTCCAACTGCATACACTGTTTTGTTTTATAACTTTTGTTTTATTTTAAAATATTTGTTAATATTTATTTTGTTAATAAATACCGTTTTTTTTTATTTTGTTTCTTTATAGTTATGTTATGTACATTTTTAAAAATTATATTTTTTTACGTTTATTTCTATTTGAAATTTTAATTTTATCTTTATTTATTTCTTTCCCTCACGTGTTTCCCTCGTTAATTAACTGTTCTGCATGCTAACGTCTCACGTATGCAGAGGAATCGGATAAAACAACTTCCAAGACAGTTCCTAAAAAGAAATATTTGCGGCAACAGTTGTATAATAAGACGTGGCAACATCCGAGTACTCTCCTAGGACATATTTCATCGGGCAAATCGAGTCCGCCGCTTTCGATAAGCCCCTCCGACGATCCCGCGGATCTCCTGCCGAGCTCATTTAAGTATCCTAATCCCCTTTTCGATCCGGAATCCCGTTTTGTAGATGATACAGATATCCTGGAAGCGTTCGACGGGGGTGGCGTACCCTCTCCGCCGAGGAACTTGAGCCTCGTCATTGTTACCGCGAGATTCGTCACGCTACGCTGGCAGGAGCCGGACAACGCAAACAGCGACACCCTTAATTATTTCATACATTACAAACAAGAAGGGGCCATGAGGTAATTATTATTATGGATGTAAATCGAGGATATGAGTAGCAGAGGAATAGAGCGAGTACAGAAAATGACCAAAAACGTTCGTCTGTTCGCGATAGGGAGAGAGTTGTCAACACGCAGCAGAAACTGGAAGCCATGATACGCGGTTTACAGCCCAGTATGACGTATCAGTTCCACGTAGTCGCGCACAATTCTCGGGGGAGCAGCGCTCCTAGTGAAGTATTACAAGTTACAACGCTGATAGAGGCCAACGTTCCTGGACCTCCGATGAATCTGGAAGGCCACGCGACAAGTAGCATGAGTATTACTCTATCATGGGAGGAGCCGCAAGTTATTAACGGCCGAATATCCAAATATATTATTACATTTATGGAGGTATATAAACATTTTTTTTTGCAAATTGTAATTGTTGAATTGATGATTACCGACTGTCCCGATGTTCAATTTTGTGTACGTTCTCAGGGTGACGGAGAGGAGATAACGCGTGAAACTACTAGTACAACGTATGAATTGGTAGATCTCGTGCCTTATACGGAATACAGTATTAGAGTTCAAGCGGTCAACGAGAATGGCCCGGGCGCGTTCAGTAAGGATATCGTGATACGGACTCACAGCGCACAACCGACGCAACCGCCGCATAACGTTACCTTAGAAGCAGCTAGTTCAACGGTAATAATTCATCTATAATATACATTATATACATATAAATAATATACATTATAAATAATAAATAAAGAGGAGTCAATGGCCAAAAACATGCAAATTCACAGGTGTTAAATAATTTATTAATCAATTTTCTAACATAAAAATACAAAACGAAACTAGTTTCGATCTTAGACTTTCTTAGTCGCATTAATAATTTAATCTTTAAATTCTGTGCATTTCATGATCACTATAACTCTGATGTACAATGATAATGAAACATAAATAATTACCGAATCGTATAAGTAATCGGATAAAACATAATAATTAATAATAATTAATAAATAATAAAACGAAATCACCGAAAACGGAGTCATGTGTGTAAAGCGGAGATCTCAACGATATGGAAATAAGCAGCATTTCTTGTAATGTACATCGTATAAGCAGTTCTTGGGAATCCTAAAATGGTTACATTTGTTGTTCCGTAAATTGATTGGAGAAATTATTACATCAAGTATATTAAGAGTCTCATGTCCGATTCTAACGATGACACAATGTACGCAAGTCGGTGTTAAGTAATGAAAAAAGTTCAAGTAAGGATCGAAACTAGTTTCATTTTGTGTTTCTATGTTAGAAAATTGATTAATAAATTATTTAACACCTGTGAATTTGCTCATCTTTGGCCGTTGACTCCTTTTTATTTATTGTATTAGAATAACGAGTCGCGCATGACCTTTATTTATTATAAATAATGTTTTCTAGACAACATAAAGTTTACAAAATCGAAGCATAAGATGCCTTTAAGACGTCTTTTTATAACTCTCGCAAAAATGTTTTTTTAGATAGGTTCTATCTTATCTAGGGTCTTTAACCCTAGATACACACTGGGATTCGCGGGATCCCAGCGAAACTTTCTCGGTTTGGCATTTCTGAAATTAGAAGGAGAGGGATATTGACGTAAAAAAAGTTTGGAATCTCCTCAGTAGGAAGACGTGTTGACGCGCGGCAATCGTCGCTCAATAACCGAGCAGTGAACAGTGAAGTGAGCGTGGGTTTCCTGGGACTGCTTGCAGTTTTGTTAAAAAATTAAAATATTGGATCGCCAAATTTTTTTGTTGCTATTTTAAGTATGCCCTTTTAGAATTTTCAAGGATTTTTCAAATCGGTCTATAAACAAAAGAGATATGATTTTTTGAAAAAAAGGTATTAAATCGAGATTTTTTCGCGTTTTTGAACTTTTCTTTTTCTTTGAACCCATATATCTTGGAGCTTCTTAATTCTATTGACTTTTAAACATTATGAGCTTGTTCCTTGGTCGATTCTCTATTGATTGAAAAAAAATTAATTGAAATATGTCCATTTTTACTAGAGTTACAGTAATAAATATGGATGGGGTCTCCGGGACCTCATTGTGTATACGATGTCGTCAAAAAAACAGTG